GGCCGCGCAGCCCGGAAGACCCACACCAGCCACCAAGATTTCTATCACTCCACCTCATCTCCATCATAAATTTTTGAAAGGCCTCTGTCCCACTTCTATCTGACCCACAAGTCAAGAAATAACTTTATAGCACAGCCACATTCTGCAGCTGCCACTTCCCCCTTCTAATTCACAAGGATCTTTGAAGTCTTTCCACATTTAATTTTATTTAAAATGTGTCACACTTTGGCAGTGCTTTCACAGCAGTTTACAAACACAGAAAAAGTTCACCTCCAGTGGGTGTTAACTGTAAGCAAATGTGGGGGGGGAGGGGGGAGTTCAGGCAGAATAAGGGTCGTTTCCTCTTTGCAACGCAGCTCCCAGGCTGCGCTCTCCCACCCCGACCAGCACCGGAGCTCCTCTCCCGCTTTCCTACCTGTGACGCTGTCCTAGTGCTCTCTCGGGCAGCAAGCACACTCTTGCTCTGGGACTCCGTGGAACAGGAGGCGTTTGAAGAGGTTTCATCTAGAGAAACTGGAAAGAAAGGATCACACCATCCACATCCGTGGAGGAAGCAACTGGCTCAGGCTCTGAGCAGAAGCACACTTACCGTCGTTATCCCCACTCACAGTGCTGGCAGCTTCGTTAGAACCACTGCTCTCCGCGTCATCCAACTCTTCTCCTTCAGGCCCAGCGAGGGTCCGAGACCACTGGGTGGCAGCTTTCTAGAAGAACCAATGAGGACTTGGAGGAACTGTGTCTTGGGAGCCAGCGGAGTATGCGTGTATGTAGGGATTAGTTAACCATATTTATATGGCTGCCCGTCTCACAAAAAGCGACTCTGGGCAGTGCACAACAATTAAATAAAACAGCAAATAGATAAAAAAAACAACCGTTATAAAAATATAAAAGGTCATTATTAAAAAAGAAAAACACTGCAAAAAAATTTAAAATATACAACCCGCACGGACAGTATCAAAAGATCAACCGCAATCGAGTCTCCGGTTCCCTGGGACCTCCAGGCCTGGTGACACAGCCAGGTCTTGAGGGACTTCCTCAATGACAGTGGGATGGAGCTAACTGATTTTGGGGGGGGGGGATATTCCATAGGGCGGGCACCACGGCAGAGAAGGCCCGCCTCCTGGAACCCACCAAATGTAAGCCCCTGGCAGATGGGACCCGCAACACGCCTTCTCCGCCAGATCTAACGGGACGGGCTGATGCGATTGGGGAGAGGCGGTCCCTCAGATAACCCGGCCCCATGCCATGAAGGGCTTTAAAGGTCAAAATCGGCACCTTGAATTGGACCCGGAAGCAGACTGGCAGCCAGTGCAGCTCACGGAGCAGAGGTGTGATACGTGCTCTTCTAGGGGCATGCACAACTGCCGGCGCCGCCACATTCTGCAACAGTTGACGCTTCTGGATACTCTTCAAGGGCAGCCCCAGGTAGAGCGCATTACAGTAGTCCAATCTGGAGGTGACTAGGGCATGAATGACTGTGAGCAGAGCCTCCCGCTCCAGGAAAGGGTGCAACTGGTGCACAACATGAAGCTCTGCAAAGCCCCCCCCAGCCATGACTGCCACCTGCTCTTTGAGCAGGAGTCACGAATCTAGGAGGACCCTCAGACGGCACTCCGGGTCTGTCTGCGGCAGTGCCACCCAAGATGGTACAGT